AATTTATTTCAAATATGGGGGCTCTCCAAGGCTCATACACCAAATTCACTTACATATTGCCAAAAGCTAGAGGATATTTATGATAAGTTGCACAAATGGCTGCAAATTCTTTGTAGCCCATTTTGTCAAGAAATGCAATCTATTAACCCACCTCTTGATGTGAGCTGGTACTATGACTTGCTTGGAATAACAGAATGTAATGGAAGTGATGTTGTGAGTTTTAAGTTTCAGCTCAAGACACCTGCTGTTTCTATCTTGCACAGGAGAAGTTCCCAGCACCTAAGATAAGCCTCAGCCGGCCTGCAGGATAATGAGCCCACATGGATGAAGAGAGGCCCCCATCCCTGCCAAACCTATTGATGCTACAGAGATGTGAGGGAGCCCACCTGAGAAAAGCTGAACCTGCCCAGTACATAAAGACCACTCAGGTGGGCTGAGCACAATGTGCTGTCTTACAGAATCATGAGGAGATACTAAACCATATTTGATACCAAAACTTATTTGAAGTCATTAAGTTTTGGAGTACTTTGTTACATAGAAAAATCTGACAGATACAACAGTCTTCAAAAAAATTTTGTTTTTCAGCAATGTCTGAGTGCTTCTGTGGCTCACAGACTCCCACATGCCTGGAGCGCTACAGGGAGAAGGTTAAATGAATGAGGAAAAATTGATAGGCTTTCCCAGCCCAAAGCATGATGTTATTATCATTATCATTATTAATATTTGTCTTTATGTAGCAGCTACCACTCGGGAATAGTTGCTATGTGTCAGACACTGGATTGTATTTAACTTTATAATTGTACTTATCTATCATTTCATTTTACCATATTAACTATCATCTAATAATTTTCGTTCTGTTTTATAGAAAATAACCTTAAGACTCAGGTGTTTTGAGTGGCTTGCACAAGGTGATGCAGCTGATAAAATGAAAAGCAGCATGGAATACATATTTATCTTATTACAAATCTATATTCTTTAAAATTTAAAGAAATTTTTAAAAATCTATAAAATTTACTTTGCTGCTCTAGACTCTGTTATTGTTGTGAAGCACCTTTAACTACTGCAAGATAGAAGTCTTGGCCTTCATAGTAAAACTTCATTAGTGCATAAAGTCAGACTAAAACAATTTGAAAATATACAGAGTCTTAGAGAATGTTGTAACTGTTTATTAGAATTAAGATAAATTCTACCTAATTTCTTAGAGGGCTCTTAATGATGTCAATTATAGTCGCACATCCCATTGCTATTTTAGTTATGGAATCAACGGCATGTCAATAAGTGCTTTCTGAGAAAAGTGTTGGACAAAGTACTATTTTGAACTCCAAATTTTATTCCCACTATTAATTTATGAAAAGGACCTTTTCTCTTTCTATTAGACAAAGGTAACAAATTAGCTTTTGTTAAAATGGTATACTGTTCTTCTGAGTTTCATTTACTTATTACTTCACCTTACATTAATATTATGACCTGAAGACAGAAGCAACTGGAACAACGTTCACTGTGTTATGACTGGATGAAGCAGGAAGAGGAGAGAGACAAAACTAGGTTAAAGATAGAAATGGCATCTATTGGGCCAGCCGCAGTGGCTCACGCCTGTAATTTCAGCACTTTGGGAGGCCAAGGCAGGTGGATCACGAGGTCAGGATACCAAGACCATCCTGGTTAACATGGTGAAACCCCGTCTGTACTAAAAATACAAAAAATTAGCCAGGCATGGTGGCAGGTGCCTGTAGTCCCAGCTACTTGCAGTGAGCCGAGATTACACCACTGCACTCCAGCCTGGGTGACACAGCAAGACTGTAAGAAAGAAAGAAAGAGTGAGGGAGGGAGGGAAGGAAGGGCGTCTATTATCTCTTCAATGACTTTGCCTTGCTTGGACTTTCCCTGTACCCCACAGGGTATGAGATCTGAAACGGCACCCTCAACTTCCCATCCAAGATACAATTCTAATCCCAAATTTAACACCCCAACTTCTTAACTGGAGTTGAGTTATTTAAACTGTAATGTTAATAGGTAAAATTCTGGAATACCATCCCAAAACATTTCATTCATTTGCCAAAGTCCTAAGGAATTTCCATGAGATACAAAGCAGGTAAGTCTGGATACAGGAAAAAAGATAAAAACATGTTATTTGCTACACAGCAAGAAGGATATTGAGTGGTAAAGAGAACACATCTCAAATGGAATCTCAGAAACCCTCTTCATTCACAATGGCAGGAGCTAGAAAGAATAAAGTCACCTAAAGAGTCAAATATCTCTCCTAATCATGTTAAGGCACTGGATTCTGAATTCGCACAGAAGGAGACTCTCACCCATCACTCCTCACAAGGACTCATGGCTTTCCCATAGCATCATATCTGTACTACTTACCAGCTGTGTGACCCTCGAAAAAGTACTTCAACTCTCTGGGCTTTAACGTCCTCCTTGGAAAGTGAGAATGATATTAAAATATGACAAGTATATGTAAAGAGTCCTAGGAATTTTTCATTCCAAGTGCAGTATATGTACATTCCTCACAATGGCCTAATGAGGTACCTCAATGCCTCCAGCCAAAGACCAGCAGGAGCATACAAGCAATGAATAAGTCGGCTTTACTGTTCATTGCAATGATGGATAAAACTCACCATGAGAATCGGGCAGCTCCTCAGTAAGAGATTGTTGGAATCAAAGAAGTAGAACCAGGAGAATACATATATTAAGAGAATGAAGAAAGGAATTCATTTTTGCATCTTTGGGGGTGGGCTAGGCAAGTCAGAGATCCACTGGGAGGTAGTTGTCAGGAAGAGCAGGCTGGAACTCTCAGCACAGGCTGACACGCTGTCCAGAGTGGAATTTCTGTTTCCTCAGAGAAACCTCAACTCTGCTCTTAAGGCTTTTCAATGGTTTAGATTAAGCTCACGCAGTTTTTCTAGGATAAATTCTTAAAGTCAACTGATTATGAACTTCAATGACATCTACAAAATATCTTCACAGTAACATCTAGATTATTAGTGTTTGATCTGATAACTGGGGATCACAGTCTAGCTGACACATAAAATTGACCATTAATCAATGTAAGGTTTGTGCTTGTTTTAGGTGATTTTGGGGAAGATTTAAGAAAGAGGGATTTTGCTTTTAATTGGGTTCTGACAGAAAGTGGAGGGTTGGGTGGCAATGCTATGATTGGGTAGCTTCATAAATCCTACCTAGAGAGACGGAAGACTATCCTGAAACTACAGATGTGATTGGTAAAGAAGCAGCAATCACTCCCGAGAGAGATGTGCTGGGTCATTTTTGTGGTTTGGACAATATTCATGTTTTGTCTGGGTTCAGACATGATGACTGAGCATTCTGGTGTTCTCTCTCAATCCACTGTGCTCGCAGAGTACCCGTCTGATTCTGATGTTCTATGAAATCCTTTATCTTCAACAGGAGAACCAAAACCACCTGGGAGTGCCAGGCTAGCTCCTAGCAACCCCAAGGTTTTGTTAATTGCATCCAGGCAGCTCTCAGGTGTCAGGATATATTTTTGTTTCACCTTTTTTTTACAGTCTCTGCCAGTGGGAGGTAAAACATAGTGCTGAGAATCTCAGAAGGCCATTTATCAAGGACAGAGTGATTCTAAATAGAAGTTCCATTAACTTACGGTTTCTATCACATACAGAAAAGAGATGCATCTGAAAAAAAAAAAACAAGTTTCCCTCTAATGACTAACTTTAGCTCAATCTCTAGTCCCTTTCAAATATTTGGAATTTTAATGTGGTAGGATAACAAATTTTAAAAGATCTGGTAGTTTAAGAAAAGAAAACCATTTTTCTAAGTCAGTGCAATTCTCCTTATTCTACCCTCAACTTTTGACTTGATATTCTTAATTAAAAAAAAAAAATTAGCATAATTGAGCCAGCCAAATTTTAAATGTAATCAATGTCCCTAAATTTCCTTTAAACGTACTCGAGAAGCACCAAAACACAGAACATAAGGATCACTCAACGCAAAGAAAAACTGTATTAAAATCTCATACAGTTACTGTAGACAGCACCATCTGACATTATAACCCCTTTTTATTGCCCTGGCCAAAACCACCTGGATCTTTTGAGAGCTTGAGAAGAACGTACCCAACTGGATTTATACAAGCAGAAAAGGCAAAGATATTGCTTGGCTACCAGCAGCAGAGATCGCTAGGTAGGTGGGTCAACTTAACATTTGGAGAATTCCATACGCACTATGGAAGCAAAAAGAAAAACAGCTAACCCACATACAGAAGTCAGAGAAAGGGGAGGGGATGGGAACTGCCAGGGAGGGAAATCAACTCAGGGAAAAATTCCTGGAGGTTGTAACCCAGAAAACTCTGAAGGATGCCATATAATTGATGATCTCGTCTATCCATGAGGCCGCTCAGAAATGCCCACCCCTGGCCAGGCGCTGTGGCTCATGTCTGTAATCCAGCACTTTGGGAGGCCGAGATGGGCAGATCACAAGGTCAGGAGTTCAAGGTCAGTCTGGCCAATATAGTGAAACCCCGTCTCTACTAAAAATACAAAAATTAGCCGGGCATGGTGGCAGGCACCTGTAGTCCCAGCTACTCGGGCGGGTGAGGCAGGAGAATTGCTCGAACCTGGGAGGCAGAGGTTGGGGTGAGCCGAGATCATGCCATTGTACCTCAGCCTGGGTGACAGAGTGAGACTATGTCTCAAAAAAAAAAAGAAAGAAAAAGAAAATAAATGCAATGCCTACCCCTCTTGCCGTTGGCAGACATGCAAACACCAGAGAAGATTCCAATTTAGTGTCCTCCCTCTATTCATAGAACATTTCCTCAAGTCCACTCTGAGTGGAGGCTGCATCACAACCAGGGGATTGCCCTGTCTCCTTCCAGGGCTCTTAATACAAACTCTTCAACTAGTAACTGAGGTGTCACCATAGGGGATTTTTCTAATTGGTCAAAACCTGATCTGGCAGGTTTGGGTTTGGGCGTCTTCAGATTTCCTTGTCTCGAAGTCCTCACAATTACTCTACAGCTCAGAACAGCAACTGCTGAGGCTGCCTTGGGAAGAAGATGATCCTAAACAAAGCTCTGATGCTGGGGGCCCTCGCCCTGACCACCGTGATGAGCCCCTGTGGAGGTGAAGACATTGTGGGTGAGTGCATGAGTGAGGGATGTTCTCTGGAGCTGCAAGACAGGAAATTGAAGGAAAAGAGAGAAAGTGATTTGCAGAGAAATTGTAGAGATTTCCTAAGGGCTCCTTTAGTATTAAGAGATTTTAAAATTATGGCTGTTCCTCCTTCAGGAAACCAGAGCCCCAACCTACTCTTTTTGTTATCTATGCTGTTGTGTTCACTAAGGACGCTATTCTGTTTATATTATATTCAGTGACTACAGCCTGGAGGTCTCTATGTCATTCCATCATGATTGCCTCAAAAATTAATGAGGTTTCCATCACTGGATAATTTTTTATTATGAAAAATTTATGAAGTGTCATTCTCAAATTTCCCTGAACAACTTTTGAAGCTTTCCGTATGTCTCCTGTAGTAGATCTTGGGGTCATTCCATCAATTATATACTCTACAGATATTAAGAAAGATGCCCTTTTCTTTCTTTCAGACTCACATTTCCACATGGGAACTGGCACAGGTGGGGAATGGGTAGAGGAGTCCAGCAGGCTGAATGCCTTCAACAATCATTTTACCACATGGTCCTCACTTACTCTCAGCTGCCTCATATGTGTCATCTTACAAATAATCAAATAAAATGGGCATGTAGCTAAGCTTTGTAAATAGTGAAAACATGAATGTCAATTTTTTTAATGTATTTCTATTACAGGTATAGTTTTACACGTATTTTCTTTAGCAAAATAAGGAATCCTTTCATTTTAAAATTAAGAAGTAGAAAAAAATGGTAAATTAAAGAATTTTTATTCTCAAATTATCAACCCAAATTACCTGTTCTTCACTTCATCTAATGAAGTCCTATAAAAACAAAAGTGGGCCAGACATGATGGCTCATGCCTGTAATCCTAGCACTTTGGGAGGCCGAGGCAGGAGGATCATTTGAGCCCAGGAGTTTGAGACCAGCCTGGGCAACATAGCAAGACCTCATCTCTACAAAAAAGAAAAATAAAAAGTAGCCAGGCATGGTGGTGCGTGCCTGTGGTGCCAGCTACTCAGAATGCTGCAGTGGCAGGATCACTTGAGTCCAGGAGGCGGAAGCTGCAGTGAACCATGATGGCACCACTACACTTCAGCCAGGGCAACAAAGAGAGACCCTGTCTCAAAAATAAAGAGGAAAGGAAGGAAAGAAGGAAGGAAGGAAGGAAGGAAGGAAGGAAGGAAGGAAGGAAGGAAGGAAGGAAGGAAGGAAGGAAGGAAGGAAGGAAGGAAGGAAGGAAGGAAGGAAGGAAGGAAGGAAGGAAGGAAGGAAGGAAAAAAGAGAGACAGAAAGAAAAAGGAAGGAAGCACAGATTAATTATTTGGTATCTTAGCCTCCTCTATCTTTGTCGTCCATCTCTTTCCACCTCTCTTGGTGCATTCCTTTCTCCCTCTTCCCTTTCAGGATCCATCTCTGACTCCCTGCTCCTTTATGGATGTGGACAGTGGGTTTGTAAAACAAAAGTTGAAAAGTCAGATAGTTAAAAGGGGAAGTGAACTGGAAGGTCTAAACTTCCACAACCTTATTAACCGTGGCTGCTCCCATTCTGATTTTGTTCGGCAGTGGAAGTTTCACCTGCTTCTCCAGAGCACTTGGCGTCTTTGTTCCAAACTTCCTTTCTTCAGCCTCACACCAGAGTGCCCTGGTCAGGCTCGGCTCATCCATTAGGCACAACGTGGGCAGTACAGGGGAGCCTCCATACTGTGAAGCCATATGCGAATATTTTAACTCCTTTTAAAATTAGAAAAAAAAATGAAATATTAGAGCCTAAGAAAATGTTTTAACTTTTAATTCAGCCTAGATTATATTGTTTTTATACCAATTCAGTCATAAAATATAATTTTCCATATTTTTATGGAGGAAGGGGCCCACACAAGCAAGAGTGCTCGGGACTCACATGTCAGAACACAGCCCTGGTCATGACCGATCCTGGCCTTCGTATGGTTCTGCTACCTGTGTGCCTGTCCGTCTTCTCCAAAATCGATGTGGTCCTCCAATATAGCAACTGCCATTCAATACACATGTTTGAGCACACAGTGAGCTAAGTTTTAAGGATTCAAAGATGAAAAGTCATGCTGTCTTCCCTGCAGAGGGTGCGCAGACTAGTGATGGAAACAGTATGGGGTGCAGGAAAGCAGAAGGCCATTGCTGAGCAGGGCAGTGGACTCAGCAGAGGCTGAAACTATACAAGTGACTTGGTTCCAGGTGGACCAGCAGGGTGACATCCTCTAGCAAAATTTGGCACCCAAGACAAGTACCAGAAGAAAAGAAGGATTGCATGTATTCCACATATATTCATGTTTGAACAAGGAGTCAAGGTTTATGGCAAGGATAAGAAGGCTTTGTTGGTGGCCTGTTAAGACTAACCAGGGCAAGTCATGCTGGATAGGGAAGAAGGTGAGTTGGAAGAGGAACAGACAAACTTGGACAGGAGATACTGAGATGGAGGGACTGGAGGTCATAATGTGGTCAAAAACATGTTGATGAGAGGACTCAGCTACAAAGTTGTTAACTTAAGCAGAAACCTCAAGGATGGATTTTAGGATTTCTCCAGGAAGTTCTAAAAGATAATTTCATTTCAGGGAGAAAAACAACAGACCACTGCCAAGACCAGGGAACATGAAAGGATAGTGTAGTTTGGTTTGCTTGGCAGATACTTGTGAAGGATGCTGGACTGAAAAGCTGTCGATAACCTCCTCACAGAACATACTACAGTACAGAACTTACCACAGTGTCTGTTCCCTTACCTACCTGACTCTCCCACTATTCAGTTTATTCCTTAATGGTAGACCATGCCTAATTGGTGTTTTACACATCCCCTGCTGTGTCTGACACTTGTGGATGCTCAGAAAGTGGGGAAGGGGGGAAAGATACGATGGTAAAAGGTTTACACATATCTTGATAAGAATGTCCAGTTCGGCTCATTCGGCTGGCGTTGTACTGCATGGCTGCTGTTCTGCTCTGGCATCCTCAGACAAGCACACTGCCCATTAGAGGAAAAAGGGTGAATATAAGTGTTGAGTCAGAACGCTGTAGACATTTAGTAACCTTCTTCACAGGAAAAAAAAAAAAAAGGTGGGAGGAATGACAGAAATCCAAAAACTAGTAGAGCTTCTACTTTTCATTTCAGAAGAAATCAGTTGCTGTCCTCTAAGGACCATTACTATTGACAAATCAGAGACCTTGGAAGGAGGCATTGTTTATTTATTATATATTTCGTAATGTTATTACCGATCTTGTTATACTCTTTCTTATACCCTACGATTGTTAGCAGAAACTATTTTAAATTAATAAGATTCTGCATGCTTTTCTTTTTCCTTTTTTTTTTTTTAAAAAAAAAGGAAGATCTCTGTGTAGAGTGTCCTATTCTGAGCCAGTCCTGAGAGGAAAGGAAGTGTAATCAATTTTTTATTAACTGATGGAAGAATTAAGTGAAAGATAAATCTTAGGAAGCAGAAGGAAGTAAATCTAATCTCCGACTAAGAAAGCTAAATACTATGATAACTCATTCATTCCTTCTTTTGTTCATTTACATTATGTAATCGTAAGTCCATGACGTGCCAGGCACTCAAAATAATAAAAATTGGACATGCGATATTCTGCCCTTGTATAGCACACACTACAATGGGAAAGAAAGTGCACTTTTAACCGAACAGCTACCAACACGAAGAGGGGAGGAAGCAGGGGCTGGAAATGTCCACGGACTGTGCCAAAGATGAAGCCCATAATATTTGAAAGTCAGTTTCTTCCATCATTTTGTGTATTAAGGTTCTTTCTTCCCCTGTTCTCCCTCTTCCTGTTTGTCATCTTCACTCATCAGCTGACCACGTTGCCTCTTGCGGTGTAAACTTGTACCAGTCTTACGGTCCCTCTGGCCAGTACACCCATGAATTTGATGGAGACGAGCAGTTCTACGTGGACCTGGGGAGGAAGGAGACGGCCTGGCGATGGCCTGAGTTAAGCAAATTTGGAGGTTTTGACCCGCAGGGTGCACTGAGAAACTTGGCTGCGGCAAAACACAACTTGAACATCTTGACTAAACGCTACAACTCCACCGCTGCTACCAATGGTATGTGTCCACCATTCTGCCTCTCTTTACTCAGTCTATCCCTTCATACCGAGTTTCATTATTTTCTTTCCAAGAGGTCCGCAGATCTTCTCATGGCAATTGCTGAAATTTTATCATCTACCATCTCTAAAATCACATATTCCCATGTAATACAAGGGTCTTTTCATTATGCATTCATTAAATCCTTCTAGGAGAGGTCTCATCAACCTCCTACTTTATTAAACATGCCCACAGAGAGAAGGGCATAGGGATAAAGCAGAGGCAATGTGTCATTGCTCCCAAGCAGAAGGTGAATAAGGCCTCTTTGACTATCAGGTGGTGAAATGCTGGTAGGAGGGCTCTTCCAGGATGTAATGTAGAAGCTCAGGGCAGAGCTATTTGCACTTCACATCAGTGCTGTTTCCTCACCACAGAGGTTCCTGAGGTCACAGTGTTTTCCAAGTCTCCCGTGACACTGGGTCACCCCAACACCCTCATCTGTCTTGTGGACAACATCTTTCCTCCTGTGGTGAATATCACATGGTTGAGCAATGGGCACTCAGTCACAGAAGGGGTTTCTGAGACCAGCTTCCTCTCCAAGAGTGATCATTCCTTCTTCAAGATCAGTTACCTCACCTTCCTCCCTTCTGCTGATGAGATTTATGACTGCAGGGTGGAGCACTGGGGCCTGGACGAGCCTCTTCTGAAACACTGGGGTAAGGATGAGTTCCACCATTTTTTGATGCTTTCTTGTCTGTCAAGTTCAGAACTTCCTGCCTTTTACTCCTATATCCCAAAACTTGTTTTCCACACTTCATGGGTTTCTTTTCTCTCTCTCTGTTTCTTTTTTTTGAAAGAGTAAAGCAAAAAAGCAGAAATTTATTGAAAATGAAAGTACACTCTACAGGATGAGAGCAGGCCTGCCACTTCATGGTTTTCTAATGATAGACTTCACTCTCCTCCCTAAGCCTTGAATCTTTGCAGAGCCAACCCTCCACCCCATCCCATCCCACACACATGCACATGAGCACACTGCACATTCTGACCTCAACAGCTTCACTTCCACAGAGCCGGAGATTCCAGCGCCTATGTCAGAGCTCACAGAGACTGTGGTCTGCGCCCTGGGGTTGTCTGTGGGCCTCATGGGCATTGTGGTGGGCACTGTCTTCATCATTCAAGGCCTACGTTCAGTTGGTGCTTCCAGACACCAAGGGCCCTTGTGAATCCCATCCTGAAAATGGAGGTAAGATTGAGATTGGTTAGAGCTGAAGCCTCACTATGAGAAGGAAAGTGGGAGGGTGTTGTGGACATGAATGTGGTAGAAAGTTGTAGAGGAATTGGGAAGTGGCATGATGATGACACAGGAGTCCCCTTGGACCCATAGATCTCATGTCTTTCCTGTTGCAGGTACATCACCATCTATAGGAGCAGAAGAGTGGACTTGCTACATGACTTAGGACTATTCTCTCGCCCGATTTATCATATCCCTTTTCTCCTCTAAATGTTTCTCCTCTCACCTTTTCTCTGGGACTTAAGCTGCTGTATCCCCTCAGAGCTCACAAATATCTTTACATTCTTTCCCTGACCTCCTGATTTTTTTTTCTTTTCTCAAACATTACCCACTAAGACGTGCCTGGAGTAAGCCACCCAGCTACCTAATTCCTCAGTAACCTCTATCTAAAATCTCCATGGAAACAATAAATTCCTTTTATGAGATCTATGTCAAATTTTTCCATCTTTAATCCAGGGCTGACTGAAACTATGGCTAAGAATTGGGGGACTCCTATCTTTCAATCCTGTTTAATCTCATTCCCCAGATCATTTTTCATGTCCAGTAACACAGAAGCCACCAAGTACAGTATAGCCTGATAATATGTTGATTTCTTAGCTGACATTAGTATTTCTTGCTTCCTTGTGTTCCCACCCTTGGCACTGCCACCCACCCCTCAATTCAGGCAACAGTGAAGTTAATGGATACCATCTGCCCTTGGCCCAGAATTGCTATAGCAAAAATTTTAAAACCAAAAAGTAAGTCTGTACTAATTTCAATGTGACTTTTAAAAGTATGACAGAGAAAAAAAGTTAGGATAAAGGAACTTTGAATCTCAAAAATATCAAAAGTAAAATTTTATTCTCAAAACTTCAAATTTGTGAAGAATGATGACAGTAGAAGCCTTCCTCTTCCCTCCTCACCTTGAGATAAAAATTCTTTAGTCAGGAAAAGAAATGGAAGTCAGAAAAATATTAGAATAAGACAATAATGTGGGTGCCTGAAAAGGAACAAATACTTATTCCTCACATAGGGTTAGTGACAATGGGGAAAGGGATGGGAGTAGAAACCACAGACATATCTACGAGCCCTGAAGAGAGGCGCAGGCTGCCTCACCTCCTGAATGAAGCTTTCCTAGATAACCATGTAGCTTTCCCTGTGCCACCCTGGCATGAAGGAGACAAGATAGTGAATACGGCTGCAGGATGTTTCTAGGAAACATGCTGATGAAAAACAATGCAAATATCTTCAGAAATCCCCAGCCCTTTCCCCTCATCCCTCCTGGCTAAGGAAAGCATGAGCTTATGAGAGAAACCCTAGGAGGAGCAACACAGTTGAGACAATGTAGCAGCAGCAGTAGGTGCTGTGTCCTCCATTGGATTCACATCTCCTAGCGGAAACTCTCCCAGAGGAAATGGGTCAGCAGTGACATCATGCCTCTAAACAACTATGAAATCCATGAGGATATTTCTATCCATGCTACCTGCATCCGTGAGTTTAAATTTTAATTGGAGAAAAAATACAAAACATTAATGCAATAATTGATACCGTATAGTTTGGTGCAAAGAACCCTGAATCCAAATCCAGGACTCAGTACTTTGAGGCTAGTATTTTAGACTTTATAAATGGGTAAAGTATCTAACATTTCTGGCCTTACTTTTCTCATCCACAATGTAGGAGTAATAATACTTTCCTTGTAGAGTTATTGATAGAATTTGAATAATCTTGATACATAGTCAATGCCTTACACATAGTACATGAATACATAAGAAAACATTGTGGTTATATTTATAATTAATTTATTTTTAAAAATAGATCTTATTATATGAAAAGCACTTTCGTTTTTCTCAACCCCTTAATGATTTAGGAGATTCAAATGTAGAGCTATGGGTGAATTTCTTTTCATATGATAATTGAAAGATTTTTTCTTTCTCCAGAATGAGAGAGGATGAGATTGGATTGGTAAGAGAACTCTTAGCACAAGAAGTTGTAATATTTGACTTTCGTTTTCAACTCTCCAAGAAGGGATATACATTCCCTCTTTATGACCCATAAGTGTTTATTCAAGGTATATCATATACAACAGATCTTTATGCATGTTTACTTTGGGGAAGAGGTGAAGATAGTTCAAGGAGAAAATAATTTAAAACGCAGACTGGGGATCAGTAAGCACAGGGAGTCGGAACCAGTGATGATCATGAAAATGTCCATCACAGAGCACAGATAATTTTTAGGGCAATAAAACTATTCTGTTTGATACCACAATGGTGAACAATGTCATTATGCATTTGCTCAAATCCACAGAATGTATAACACCAACAGTGAAACTTAATGTAAACTATGGACTTTGGGTGATAATGATGTGCCAATGTAAGTTCATAAATTATAGCAAATGTACCACTCTGATGGGAGATGTTGCTAATGGGGGAGGCTATGCATGTGTGGGAGCAAAGTGTATCTGGCAGCAGTGCCCAGCCTTTTTGGCACCAAGGACCAGTTTTATGGAAGACAATTTTTCCACAGATAGTAGGGGGAATGTGGGTATGATTTGGGGATGAAACTGTGAAACTGTTCCACCTCAGATCCACAAGCATTAGTTAGATTCTCATAAGGAACATGCAACCTAGATCTCTTGCTTGCACAGTTAACAATAGGGTTAGCGCCTTTATGAGACTCTAATGCCACCATTGATCTGATGGAAGGCAGGGCTCAGTTGGTAATGCTGGCTTGCCCACTGCGTGGCCCAGTTTCTAACCAGCCACCAACTGGTACTGGTCCATGGCCCAGGGGTTGGGGACCTCTGGGATACCTCTGCACCTTCTGCTCAGTTTTTCTGTGAACCTACAACTGCTTTAAAATAAAGTCTATTTTTAAAATGATTCATGAGGCAAGAACCCAGCATTTTGGAGTTGTGTGCATCTGTATGCAGGTGTGTGTGTGTGTGTGTGTGTAAGTAACATAAGGGTTATACTGAATGGCATAATGACCAGAGTCACGTAGAAATCTAAATATGTTAAAATAAAAATTTTAGTATGAAAAAGTCACATTAAAATGCACAATATGCTAAGAAGTTTTTAGCAATAGGGTTTCAGATAAATTTCATATACATTTTGGTGATTCATGAGGCAAGAACCCAGCATTTTGGAGTTGTGTGCATCTGTGTGCGTGTGTGTCTGTGTGTGTGTGTGTGTGTGTGTGTAACATAAAGGTTATACTGAATGGCATAAAGACCAGAGTCATGCAGAAATCTACAAATGCTGCCCAACTCAGACTGCTTCTTCAAGAAGCACTGTGGAAAGCAAATTTAATGATAGTTGTATTTTATTAAAAGGATGTATTCAAAAATATTTATGTAATGTTAAAATAGCAGAATTAAAACTAATTCCAAAAAATAAGAGTAAATATTTCTTTTTATCAGCTAAAAATGTAGGGTCTACTATAAATAGGGTTACAGATCAACCTGCATGATTTAAAATCATGTGATTCTTAAACAATTATTTGAGTTATTTGAATTATTTCAGATTACACACATAAAGTGTGACTTCATTAATATTTAATATCACACTATTTAATATTTACAAAATTAGTGGGTCACAGAGGCTCGTGCCTGTGATCTTAGCACTTTGGAGGCCAATAGGGGAGGATTGCTTGAAGCCAGGAGTTCAACAGCTACCTGGGCAACAAAGCGAAAGCCCGTCTCTACAACATAAAATAAATTAACACATGGCGACGCTCCTGTAGTCCCAGCTACTCTAGAGGCTGAGGCAAGAGGAGTGCTTGAGCCCAGGACTTCAAGTCTTCAGTGGGCTAGGATTGTGCCACTGTGCTCACTCCAGCCTAGGCAACAGAGTAGAACCCCATCTCTAAAAATAAATAAATAAATAAAATTGACAAAATTTTAAAAATCACATGAAATATGTCAGGTTTGCACTTACCACATTCAAACTAGGGATTTCATTTTATTACAAATGAAGCACTTCATGCACAGACTGGCACATAGTAAGTAGTCCATAGGTGTTAACCATTGGTGTTATTGTTATTTTCTGGAGTCCAACTAACAAATCCCACAGCGAATGACACCACAGGGATACAACCAACAAGATCCACAGTATGGGAATTTCTACTAGATAAACAACTCCATTTCTTTTTTTTTTTTTTTCTTTTTTTTTTTTTTTTTTTTTTTTTTTTTTTGAGACGGAGTCTTGCTCTGTCGCCGAGGCTGGAGCGCAGTGGCCGGATCTCAGCTCACCACAAGCTCCGCCTCCCGGGTTTACACCATTCTCCTGCCTCAGCCTCCCGAGTAGCTGGGACTACAGGCGCCCGCCACCTCGCCCAGCTAGTTTTTTTTTGTATTTTTTAGTAGAGACGGGGTTTCACCGCGTTAGCCAGGACGGTCTCGATCTCCTGACCTCGTGATCCGCCCGTCTCGGCCTCCCAAAGTGCTGGGATTACAGGCTTGAGCCACTGCGCCCAGCCAAACAACTCCATTTCTTCAGCAATAATTCAAGAGAGAGAGAGAAGAGAAGCTATACATTTAAAAATGCTGAAGAAATATATGAACCAAATTCATATGAGGCAATCAGAAAAACTGACACTGACTGTATTAAGGAATTATCTAATTTTAGTGTGGTAATGAGATTGCTGTTATGTTTTCTAAAAAGTCATTATACTTTAGATTTTCATAATAAAATAATTATGAATGAAATATGATATCTGAAAGTATCTTCAAAATAACCCAGTGTGCATGTATGATTAATTGGGTGGGTTTGCAAAATTGCCCATGAATTGAGCATTGTTTCAGCTGGGCTTTTAAAACATGGTACTCAGCCAGGCGTGGTGGCTCATGCCTGTAATCTCAGCACTTTGGGAGGCCAAGGTGGGCGGATAGCCTGAGGTCAGGAGTTCGAGACCATCCTGGCCTACATGATGGTGAAACCCTGTCTCTACTAAAAACATAAACAATTAGCTGGGCGTGGTGGCGGGCACCTGTAATGCCAGCTACTTGGGAGGCTGAGGCAGGAGAATTGCTTGAACCCAGGAGGCAGAGGTTGCAGTGAGCTGAGATCATGTCCTTATACTCCAGGCTGGGCAACAGAGCAAGACTCTGTAAAAAAAAAAACAACAAAACAAAACAAAACAAAAAAAAAACATGGTACTCTTCTCTCTACTACTGTCCATAGTTGAAGTTTTCTATAATGCAAAGTTTTTAAAAAATGCATTCCAGAAAAGTCCCATAAACACAGGCAGACAAGCATTCTGTTTGAAGTTATGTTGGTTTTAGGCTCTTCTCGTTTTTATCATAGTTAGGAAACCCTGAGTATCCAAATCCTTCCTAAGTCTATGGGAACCTCTCAGAAATGCAACTCTAAAGAATGTGCATGCAAGAACTAATAATAGCAAAGGAGAGCAAAGAACTTTTTCCTTTATTATTGGCTATACTAAGCCC